GCGCGCTGCCAAGAGTCTGGCGTGTGCCGGCTGCGAGGTGCCGCTTCTCATTGCTGCCACAGCGGGCGCGCGCCGTGTAGACCGCGCAGAGCATGGGCATAGATGCGGCCACCATGGCGCTCCAGAAGCCCGTGAACATTCGCCGCGATGACTGGTGGCTGCACCTGTATGTCATGCTCAGTCGCGCTCGCGTGGCCCATCGGGTTCTTGTCCAAAACTGCCACCCTGGGACATCCTGCAGGGGCCTTCCCGCGTATGTCCGAAATGTGGTCCGCGGCTTCGAGGAGATGATGGTCGGGAGTTTTGCGATCACCAAGCAAGCGGCGCAGGAGTGCCGCTGGGGCGCGGGGCAGGCGCTGCGACCGGCAGGGAGAAACGCTGCGCCAGAGTCGGGCTCGGCGCCCGCGCCGCCGGCGGTGCCGCAGGCGTCGCCGCTGGGTCTGCCGCGTTCGGCGGGCTTCGCTGGGAGCTCCGTTCGCGGCGATGCGGGGGATGAGGAGAGCGCGGCAAAGTCTATGCAGTCGCTGGGCGCAACAAAGTTGCGATCGCACCATGATTGTCGTCGAATATCTTAATTCAAGGACGTCTGGAATTTTGCTTCGATTGATCTGATTTGGTGTGTTGTGCGTTTCTTCAACGCGCAATCTTACATTCCAGCTGGTGTGGCGTATTTGGTGATGGATGCGCTTTCGTGGAGAGTCCCACTTACGCCAGTGCCGCCAGCTTCAGCAACCGCCAACTTGGCGTCCGTGGCAGTCGCGTCGCCAGACCAAACTGGTGTAAACTCAAGTCGGGCCACCTCGCCGAGACGCGCGCAGCGACGTCATGCTGCCTCTCGAGCATGAACGCCTTGACCCTAACTTCCGCAGGGGATCCCATTGCTTGACAGGGTTCGACAGCCAGGTCAGGGAGTGGTGGGGTGACCGCATTGGGGGTCGAATCGCTTATGGGCCAGGGGAGTTCACCGAACTGGAAGGTGAAATTGAATCCAGGGACATCTGCATTTGCGACGAATGCCACGAATCCTTCGACATTTTGTACGCCAGCTTTTTTTTTTTTTTTTTTTTTTTTTTTTTTTGTTCTTTCTTTTTTTTTACCAGTTGGAGCCCTGGATGGCCCGTATGCTTGGAGTAGAGCGCTTTGTAATCACCGACTGGACCAGCGCGACCTCTGGATCAGAAAGGCACAGCTGCTGCGCAGCGCGTTCCTGGACGTCGCTGAAGGCTACTTTGCACCCGTGGTGCCGACGATGCTTCCTCCGCCAGCGTACGATTGGGTTATGACAGCGCGCAGGTCTACGTGAACAACGTCCTGAATTATTGCAACGAGAGTGTTTAAACGTGGTGTTCACCGAGGTGTTCGGCATGCTCAGGCCAGGTGCCCCCGTAGTAGTCGGCGTAAAGTGTCTCTACAGCGACAGCGCGATCCACAACGGTCGTGGGGAAATCATGATTGGCGCGGGGGCGATGCGGTGCCTTGCCGCAGAATGGGCCGCGGTGTATATTGCCATTGCGGACTGGGCTCGTGCATTTTCGCAAATTCGGCACCGCGAATGAAAGGGCAGTTGGTTGCGGTCGATCTCGCGGCGAAATCCCTGCCAACCTGGTGCCAGAGGAAGCTCGCGGCTCGCGTGCGCGCCCCCTTTGCGCCGGCGCGGGAGACAGTTGCGTGCGTCTGATGTGCGTTGCCGAGGTTGATGGGGCGAGGAGGAAATCCTGCAGTCGGCCCGTTTGCTTTGCAAAGACGCCCTGCGGGCCTGCAACCCGACGCGGGCGGTGGGCCCTCACTCGGGCATCGAATGCTTCGGGGGGCGCACTTCGAGAGGTCGGGCACGGGTTGCGCTGCCCTTGCGCCGCCCAGATTGCACTTGCTGGAAAGCCATGGGCCGTTGCGACGGGATCAGGGACATGTCCGCAAATGCGTATTACCTACCGTAGCACCCCGCAATTGCGGATCAGAGTGAGGGGGCGGGCGCGGGCGACGCGGGCGTCGTCAAGCCGGCGGACCTCGTGGCCCCCACCTTCCCTGTCGATGGCGCTCTCCTCCTCCTCCTCCTCCTCCTCCTCCTCCTCCTCCTCCTCTTCCTCCTCCGCCTCCTCCTCCTCTTCCTCGTCCTCGTCCTCGTCCTCATCGTCATCGTCGTCCTCCTCCTCCACCTCGTCCTCCTCCTCCTCCTCCGCTTCTTCCTCGTCCTCCCTCTGCCCCCCTCGTCCTTCCATCATCGTCCTCCCATTGTCGTCATGTTCCTCCTCGTCGTCCTCCTCCTCTTCCCCCCCTCCCGATCCTCCCCCCTCCTCCTTTTCGTCGTCGTCGTCGTCGACGTCGTCGTCGTCCCCTTCCTCGTCCTCCTCCTCCTCCTCCTCCTCCTCATCCTCATCCTCATCCTCATCCTCATCCTCATCCTCCTCTCCTCCCTCGTCCTCCTGCAAAAGCAGCCCGCCGCAGGCGCCGAAAAAATTGGTTTGTACACTGAACGTGGTTTGGGTCGCGGGTGGGCCGCGGGTTCTCCACCGGGAACGAATGCAAAAGATGCCCGCCGCAGGCGCCGAAAAATGTAGTTTGTACCCTGAACGTGGTCGCGTGTGGGCCGCGGTCTCTCCACCTAGAACAAATGCAAAAGATGCCCGCCGCAAGCACCGAAAAATGTGGTTTGTACCCTGAACGTGGTTAGGGTCGCGGGTTGGTCGCGAGTTGATCGCGGGGTGGGTCGCGGGCTCTCCACCTGGAAGGAATGCAAACAAAGCCCACCGCAGGCACCGAAAATGTTGGTTTGTACCTTGAACGTGGTTTGGGTCGAAGGTGGGTCGCGGGTGGGTCGCGGGGTGGGTCGCGGGTGGGTCGCGGGTGGGTCGCGGGTGGGTCGGGGTCGCGGGTGGGTCGCGGGGTGGGCCGCGGGCGGGTCGCGGGGTGGGTCGCGGGTGGGTCGCGGGTGGGTCGCGGGTGGGTCGCGGGGTGGGTCGTGGGGTGGGTCGCGGGTGGGTCGCAGGTGGGTCGCGGGTGGGTCGCAGGGTGGGTCGCGGGGTGGGTCGCGGGGTGGGGGTCGCGGGTGGGTCGCGGGTGGGTCGCGGGTGGGTCGCGGGATGGGTCGCGGGTGGGTCGCGGGGCGGGTTGCGGGTGGGACGACGACAACAAACAACAACAACAAACAACAACAACAACAACAACAACAACAACCATCTTAAGACTGTTCGCTCTTACTTGCCCGCGAGTCTTTCAAAACGTATACCCCACACCCTCGATGCCCGCCCTCTTTGTCTTCGAACACACCCCCTTTGGGGGGATTACTTATCTTTGCGGGGGCCGGCGGGCATAGACGGGCGACACGCCGGATCCCTGACGCCCGCGGACTGCGCCGGGCCCCGGCGCGGAGGGCGGCGGGATGGAACGGCGGAGAGGAGGCGAGGCAAAAGAGGGGCGCGCGGTGAAGGGGGAGAGGACACGGTGGACGGGGCGACCTTCGTCGGCGAGCTCGCAATGGTGCACGCCCTAGTGCTTGCGCCAACGGGCGCCTTGAAAATCCCGAAACTCCGGGAGTCACAGCCTCGCGCCGATTCAGCGCGGCAGGCCCATCACTGAAAGCCCGCCGCAACCGCCGTGCCCGGCTTGATCTTCTTGTGGGGGGGCTCCTCCTCGTCGACGGGTCCCTGGGCGTGGCGAGCCCGCACAGCCGCTTGGAACTGCTCGAGCGTCACGGCGTCCCCTGAGCGGTCGTTGTGGAGAGCATTACCGTGAAGCGCGAAGCCCAGCATGGCGCGGTGGTGCGACGACGCCACGTGGGAGCTCCCCCCTCCGCTGAAGAGAAACTGGGTAGCCCTGACAATGTTGACCTGGGCGGGGTTGATGTACTCCCAGACGATCTTCGCATTCGTGTTGAGGTCATCGACACCCACTGTCTCCGCGGCCGCCACCACGGCGCTCCGGAGCTGGTCGATCCCGTCTTTGCGGTGCTCCTTTTTCGGCGCCAGGATCTTCTTCATCGCCGGAAGGACCTTGTCGATCTCCTGGTACAGCAGGCGCACGATGTCTGGTTTCATGCACGCCTCCACCTGCACACGCTCGCCCTTGAGGTACTCGAGGAACTGTACCTGGCTCTGCAGCCAGCGATTCACGCCGACCCCGCGCCTTTCATCATGCTCGCTGGCTAACTCTGTGGCGTAGACAGCACCCGTCTTTTGCTTCACGTTGCACAAACCCCAGAGTTCGTGGGTGGGCATCACGTCGAATTTCCCACGGCCGTATGCGTTCAGGAAAGACTTCGGGATCGTCTCCCAACTCTTCAGGTATGTGCGCGGCACAGGGGGCTTCTTCCCGTCGTCCCCAGAATTCGCCTTGCGGGCAAACAAATGTTGACACGGCATGTTGCTGCGCCAAGGCACAGCATAGCGAGAGAGGACACAAGACAGAGAAGGATACACGGACACAAGAACGCACGCAGGCCACGCTTGCCAGCAAATCGCAGGACAGGAAAACGCATGGGGGCCAGCCTCGAATGAATCTGGTGCGCGCACTGGGCAGCAGCAGCGGCATGATCACATAGAGACGCAAGCATCAATTAGCAGGCCGCGCCTGCCGCTCGAGGTTGGCGAAGGCTGCCATGCCCGAGGAGTCCGCCATGGCAAAAGCTGGCGCGTGCTCTCGGAGACAACAAGCAGGAAGCCACAAAGGAGCCGCGTACCTGAAACGGCTATCGAACGATTGAAAAACGATAAAAGTGCACGGGCGCGCCAGCCGGGACAATCTGTCATAGCAGGATGCAACGGACAGCCCCGAAATGGATATCCCGTGCGAGTCTCTTCCGCCCAATGCTGCTCTATGCCGCAATCCAGAGACGGCATGCTATTTCTGGTATGATGTTTTTGCATCCACGACGCCACCACGCGTGCGATGTGAATGGCCTGCGAGCACTCGGGCGCGCAAAGTCCATGGTAGGACCCCCCCACCCCTGCGGTTGCGTCGTCGGCCGCCTGCCCATCAGCTCCACAGCCTTCCCGATTGGATGCCTGGTTGGCTGCATCGTTTGCTGCCTGGTCAAGTGCCTCGTTGGCTGCCTTGTTGGCTGCGCTGTCGGGAGACTCGTCCGCTGCCTGCTCGGCTGCCTTGTTGGCCAACTCGTCAGTTGCCTGGTTGGCCGCCTTGTGAGCTGCCTCATTGGGTCCCTGGTTGCCTGCCTCGCTGGCTGCCTGGTCGGCTACCGTGGTGGCTACATCGTCTGCTGCCTCGTTAGCTGCCTTGTGAGATTCCTCGTTGGCTGAAATCGCGGCCTGGGGGGTGAGTTGCGAGGCCTCTGTGGAATTGGCGCGGTAAGGTCCACTCCGAGCATGCCCGGATGTAGAGGACGGGAATTGAAAGCGTGAGCGCCATTGTCGCCCACCTCTTCAATATTGAAACGGCCAGTGGGCAGTGTAATGGTGTCTGCCAGAATGAGCATTGCAGGGGTCAGCAGCCGGGAGGCCCGCTACAGATCGACCCGGAGCTAAGAGGCCGCCCCCGAAGTGGAACTCCAAAGTTGACACGTAGACCCCTTTCACCCCCCCCCCTCTTCAATCCTGCTGCGCTGCGCTGTCCTCTGCGGGGCCGCGCAACGCCAATCTTGCGAAGGGTGTTTGGGCAGGGCCCTCAGGGAAGCTCGCCAGGGGGTCCCCCCTGAAAGCTCAAGAGATGTGCTGTGGCGGCCAATGTTCAGAGGGGGGCACCGGGGGGGCAGGGGGGCCTCGGCGAATAACAATACGCTTGTCTGCTGGGCACTCGCATAAAGTACTCTTCCCAAGGGAGGTGGAGGGGAGGGGTGAGGGTGAGGGTGAGGGAGGTATATGGGAAGTGGGAAGGAGAGGGGTGGAATGCCAGGGGGCGGCAAGGAGAGGAGACAAGTGGATGGAGGAGGAGCGGGGCAGATTTTTTTCCATGCGCTGTGTGTGCTGATAAAAAGCGCAGTGCTTGGCAGCGGAAGATGACGGTGCCACGGCCGCCGGCGGCAACGGCCACGGGTCGCGGGGCGGGTTGCGGGTGGGACGACGACAACAAACAACAACAACAAACAACAACAACAACAACAACAACAACAACAACAACAACAACAACAACAACAACAACAACAACAACAACACGAATCCGCACCGCGGAATCTCACTTCAGCCACGCACCCAGGGACAGTGAATGACCGTTCGGCCCCCTCACTCTGACAAGTCTGACTGCGGCTCGCAGTTGGGCGCCTGGGAGGAGTCCGATGAGGGGGGTGGCGCGTGAAACGGTAGCCGTTGCATGTGGGGCGAGGACCGTCGCCGCATGATCGAGGAACATCGACAGCGTGATCGCAAGCGCGAGGCGCCCGTTGTGGCGAATATTGAGCGCCCGCTGTCAAGCGCAGCCCATGCCAGGCTTGGCGGCCCGTGAATGCAGCATGGATGACAAGTAACCATCTACCTTGTCTTGCTTCTTCCCGTGGTATGTTGCAAGTGAGCATGGCAGCTGTGGGCGTGCGGATAGCGCGGCGAGCCCGCCATAACCTGCAACAGTTTTTGCGCTGCTGTGCTGTGTTCGCTTTGTGCAATATGTGCGCCTGTTACGCTCTAGATGTGCTTGAACGGCACGTATCGCATGACAATTTCGTTTGTGTCGTCGTCGCGCTTGTTGTCCTTTGCTCTCCGTCTGGCTAGTGTGCAAGCCGCGTCGTGTGTCTTCAGTGGATATAACCACCTCGTGGCGCTGCAGGTCATGCAGGCGCGAACTGGTACTGGCAGCCCATGGTAAGACAGAGACGCACATCCCCATTACCGCTGTTCAGTGGGGGTACGCAGGAGGAGGAGGGCGAGGGCGCGGTGGAGAAGGATGATGGCGCGGAGATTGATGACGAGGAGGAGAAATTCGAGGACGAGGAGGGGGGCGAGGACGAGCAGGAGGGCGACGAGGGGGTGGAGGAACTGGAGGGCCAGGGACACTGCGGCCCCGATCTGCGAAATTCCATCCCCCCCGCCATCCTCCTCGGACCTCCCCATCCTTCCTCCTCGTCCCAAAAAAATGCCGTGAACAATAATGAAAATAACACCCTCTGATCAATAACAATGAAACAATCCTCATTGACATCGTGCTCGTCCTGGTCCTCCTTCATGCCGTCTTCTTGCACCTGTTCCTTCCTGCTTGCTTTCGCATCGAAAGATCAGTTCCATCCGTGGCATTGCGTTTGTTCGCGTTGTTCTGTATCTCGGTGTCTTGCTTGGGTCTAGTGCTTGCTCGCAAGTTTGGAGTGTCGCGGCCCTTGAGTTCTGCGCGGCGGTCCGGCGGCGCTGAAGGCAGGGGCTTTCGCGGGCGATCCGACTCTTGCACTCCCACTGTATGTCGGTTTTGGCATGCCAGCTGCATGTGTCCCTCTGACGAAACTGCTGCGGAAAGCTTACGACGAAGCGTTGCAGTTCATGACGGTAGGCCCTTGCCATGCGTTCGCAAGGTGACTTGTGAACTTCACTGGCGTTTTTTGGATGGTGATTGTTTCCCGAATGTCATCGAGGTTTGGGTCCTGATATTTGCGCCCGCGTAGGCCCGGTTGTGGCAGTCCTGGATCAGGTCGACGGTGGATGAAGTAGGGAATTTCCTTGCACCCGCTCACGCTCCCACCCCCAGGAAGCAGCTTCAGGCCACGCAGCCATGAAGCAGCTGAAGTCCCTCCGATACCCCGCTGTTCGCCACCGTGCCTTAGCCCTGGTGGTGGCCAACTGGGTCGGGCCGACCGTTTCTCGGTTGCAGATTTCCAGGAACTGGCCAGGATGATGTGACAAGTAGGGGAGGGCAGCACGATGCACCTTGTGATAGTAGTCCTCAAGGTTCTGTGTCGGGGAGTTCGTGCGTCGAGCCGTCTTCGCGCGACTCTGCTCGGTTTCGCTTTTGGTCGTGCGAGGGAGACGGCTGATGATGACCTTCGGCATTACCGTGTGTGCCCGTTCTCTCCTTGGCATCTTTCCCCGCGGTGGACTCTTGTCTTCTTGGGCCGAGCAGCTGGCAGGGGATGGTTGGCTTTCCACTCTCTGTTCCTGCGGCCACAATTGGGGGATCTCGTGACCTGGTGGGGCGTGCTCTGATTGATGGATCCCTGGCGGCCGACAACGCCCGCGCGGCGGTCTCCCAGGTCCCGGGGGGCTTCCTGGTCGAGGCTCGGCAGGGACAACTGTCTCCCCGTCGCCCCGGATTGCAGGGGGCGCTTCGGTCGCTTCAAATAGTGGCTCGGCGCGGCGCCCCCCGCCCCTCTCCGCGCGTTTCCTGCCCCCCCCCCCCCGGGTAGGATTTGGAGAGCCGCGCCCGCCATTTCTGTCCCCCCCCATTTCCTGTGCCCCCCTAGTCCCCTTCCCTGGAGTTCCTTGCTCTTGCGTGTAGTTGACCGAGGTTGCTACCCCTCTGGTCCCCTGAGGGTGGTGGATTGCTTTGCCGCGGTGTGCTTTCCCGATTCGGTCTGGCCTGGATAGTTGTGCGGCGTTGCTTTTGGGCAGATTCTGGGTCGGCCGCGCTGCGCCGTGCTTCGGGAGGTGCTTGGGGGTGGGGGGGCCCTGTTCGTTGCCTGCCTTGTTTTCCTTTCCTGTCCTTTGCTGCGTGTTCTACTCTTTCGTCCCGCCGTCCGTCAGGAGGGGAAAAAACACACAGACACAATTAATCGTCGATTCCCAGAAGATATGGGAAAATACGGGAAGTGGGGGGGAAGACAAAAACCAAGAACATCTGGGAAAATATGGGGAATCTTTTTATTTGTGTGTATTTATTTGTGTGTCCTGGGGCCCCGTCGCCCGCCGTCGGTCTCGCCCCTCTCCCCGCCCGCGGTGTGATGCTTCCTGCGATCGCCTCGGGCTGCTCCTCCTGCTGCTCCCTCCTCCGTCGCCTGCTGCCCCCTGCTTCTCCCCCTCCCGGCTCCCCGCCGCCCGCCGTTCCCCCTCCTGGCGTCGCTGCCTTGCGCTCGGCCTGCTCTCCTGCGGAGGGTGGGCAGAGGGAGGTGGCGGTGAGCCCCCCCCCGACCGCCCCGCCCGCGGCCCCGCGCCGCCGCCCCGCCGCCCCTTCCCGCCGCCGCCCTCCGTGCTTCGGGGGCGGAAAAGAGGGGGGGTGATGACTGGGGGGGTGGATACCATGGCGGGGGCCATGATTTTGCCCCAGATTTCATGGCGCCCCTTCTCATTTCATTGCGTCCCTGGCCCCCCCGCTGGGCCGCGCACGTGCCGCCGGTCATGATTTGCACCCCCCCCTCTTGGACACCCCCCTCTTGGCCGCTCCCGAGTGTTGGGGCTGGCGAGCGTTTCCCCAGCCGACATCCTTCGGTGGGGCAGTCTGTTTGTTTGGGGTGCAGAGGGTGGCCCTTGGCTGGCCAGCTGCCGCTGGCAGGAAGGCGTCGATGTGCATGCTCGAAAGCGGCAAGGGGTGCTTGGGACGCTCTGCTCCCCAGAGCCTCTGGGCCCCCATCCCCGCGCTCGGTTCCCGACGAAGGTCGAGGCGCCTGCGGCGCCCCGCTGCTGTCGCCTGTCCGCGCCGTTCCTCCCCGCGCCAGGTTCCCGGCTTGGTTCGTTGCACCTGGATGCACAGGCAGGCCTGTCCTATTGTTGCGTCGTCGTTTTTTTGGGGGGGCGTGCCCCGCTGTTGTGCTTCTGTCCGCTGCCGTGTTCGGGTTGGGGCTTGCCGTTCGGTCGGGAGCGATCGCAGCTCGGACTCGTGCGCGAGGGGCGCTTCGCTCGAATCGCGATGTTCCGATTTTGATTGGAGCGCGCGCCCCCAGGGACACTCGACTCCTCGTGCCGAGTCCCCGCCGCTGCTCTTTTCTGCTGCTCTTACTTCTCCGTGTTGCGTCTCCTCCTCTGCTCCCCTGCGCGTGCGTGGGTTGACTGGACCTGGATACGGTGAGTGCGCCTGCGGTGATAGTTTTTTGTTTGTTTGTTTTTTTTTATGTGTGCCCTCCTATCCCTCGTTTTCTTCCCTCTCTCAGTCCTCCTGCTGCCCCTTTCCCTGCCGCTCTCCCTTGCTTCTCCTTCCCCCCTTGTGTCCCTGCCCTGATCCTACCCATCCTGGTGGGCTGCATCGGAGCTAGTTGCGTGCTCGAAGTTGCTTCAACATTTCCCTGGAAAAAAGGTTCCGACGTTTACCTTTGCAAACCTACTCCCGCGCTTCCGAGACAAGGATTTCCGAACATCCAGGCACGGCCGCTCTGGCCCACTATATGTTGAGTGGTATGTCACATTGAATTTGAGAAGGCTGGCTTCGAAGCCCACAGTGTTTTATCTTCTAGGCGCGACCCATCCTT